TCTGCTGTGCATGGGGTTGCTATGAGTCAGTTCCAACTCGATGGCACCTGACAACAACAACAACAATAGACAACATATTGAAGGATCCTATTTTTCTTATCCATTCCTCTCTTTATGTCTCTTGACTGATACACTTAATCCACTTACATTCAGTGTATTTATCAATAGCTATGAATTCATTGTTGTCATTTTTCTGTGTGTATGTGTGTGTGGTGCTACTGAGTCTTTGTTCCATATAATTTTCTATGCTGAGTTCATTTTGTTTGCGGGTTTTCTTTTCATTTGTTGTGTTAATTTTTAGTAAATCTGATTTTCCTCTTTTTAATTTTGATGTGCAGGTATATTGTTTTTCTCTGAAGTTACCCTGTAATTTATTGATTTTTTTCACTGCTTAAAACAGTCTGTTTTTATCTTGAAATCTACCTGACTTCCTTGTCATTTGCAAGTTGTATATTTATACTAGTCTCTGTTTTTGCTTTGTAGTTGACTTCATTATACATTGTTATCTCTGGTTCCCTACTTCCAGTCTTATAGGTTTGTTTTACTTTAAATACTTCTAGGTCTGGCTTGAGTTCTGGGTGGTGTTGTCATATTTGGGAATCTCAGGTTGCTGTCTGCTGTCATTGGTTCTCAATCCAAAGAAGACTCTTCAGCATTTTTTTGTAAAGGTAGTCTTGGTATTATGAATTCCTTTAATTTTTGTTGATCAGGAAATGTCCTAATTTTGCCATTGTATTTGAGGAACAGCTTTGCTGGGTATATGGTTCTTGGTTGGTAATCTTTTTCTTTCAGCGTTTTGTATATGTCATCCCATTGCCTTATTGCCTGAATGGTTTCTGCTGAGAAGTCAGAACGTTGTCTTATTGAGTCTCCTCTGTAGACAACTTTTCATTTTTCTGGAGCTGTTCTAAGGATTCTTTCTTGTCTTTGATTTTGGAAAGTTTGATTATGATGTGTCTTGGTGATTTTCTTTTGGGATCTATCTTGTTTGGAGTTTGTTCAACTTCTTCTATGCTTATCATCTCATCTTACATGATGTTAGGGAAGGTTTCTTCCAACAACTTTTGGATAATTTTCTCTATACTTGTCTCTTCCTATTCCAAAATTCCAGTCACCTGTAAGTTGTTCCTCTTTGCTGTGTTCCCCATAACTCTTGGGCTTTCTTCAGATTTTTTCTTTTTCTTTTTCTTTTTTTTTTTCTGATTGTTCTACTAGCATATTAGTATTGAGAGATTTGTGTCTTCAAGTTCAATAATTTGGGCTTCCGTTGCTTCACATCTACTCCTTTGTCCTCTCAATGTACTGTCAATTTCTGAGATTTTAGTTTTAATCTTCTGGATTTCTAATTGCTGGTTTTGTATTGTTTCAAAATTTACATTTTATGTGTTTGTTCTTGTAATGTTTCTTAGAATTCTTCTAAAGTTTTTATTGTGTTTTCCTTGCTTTCCTCAATCTTTCTATTAATCCTTTGAAGGTAACTAATTAACATTCTTTTTAGTTCTTTTTTGGTTAGTTCTATTACCTTTTCTTCTAAAGAAACAGTTTCTGGCTCTGCATCTTGGTCATTTGTTTGAGCCATTCTTTCTTGTTTCTTGGTATGAGCTAAGATTATCTGTAATCTCTGGAGCATTATGGGATTGTCATATTTATAAGAATAAACAGTGCAGTTATTGGACTCAGAGTGGAGAACGCTCTGGTGGATTCCTGCAATTCAAGGAGTTTACGAGGTAGTTATGGAAGGGCTGTGAGAGCAGAGTTCCTGGCCCTAAATGGAGTTCCTATTAGCCTCAGTGTTCAGGTAACTCAATCAAAAGTAGTTTGTGGAGGTCCTTGATGAAGTTCTTTTCAGTATCAGTTAGAACCAGGGGAGAGCTGGGGTAGGGTGACTGGGATAGGGTGACTGGGGTAGGGTGACTGGTTAAATGTGGCTCTGCAGATTTTGTAGTTCTGGAACCAAGCCCCTCTGAAACCAGGCACCAAAGTGACACAGTTGGCCCCAAACTCACACTGGTATGGCTCCCAACCACGTGGTTCTGAACTTCTGGGGAACAGGGTTCTGCCCTGAAGGTGCATGAAGGTAGGAACTGGCCACACCACTGGTCACCAGGGGAACGTAGGGAAAAAGAGGAAACTGCACCTTTCCCATCACCTGTGCGAATCTGCTCTGCCATATATCCCTCTGATGCCAAAACTCCTCAGAAGATGGTAGAGCCAAGTCTGGCTAATCGTTCACCAGTCATTCTCCCTCTCTCCCTGTCCCTGCATGGCTTCTCCTCCCAGCAAGCACTTAATTACCCTCTCTAACCTTTCTTCTGAAGTTCATTCAGGGTGGCAGAATTTTTATCTGTGTCTATCTTATTTGGTCTCCCATATGTTTGTCGTGGAGGGTCTGTGTAGTGCATCTGCTTAATCTACCATCTTGCCAGAAGTCCTCTCCATCTTCTTTTGGTGCTTTCTGCTCATTCAATGTTTTGCCCATAGAATCATTCAATATTCAAACTAGAGGCTTGAATTTTTTCTTAAGTTTGCGAAATGTTGAATGTGTTCTTTCCCTTTTTTTTTTTTTTCACTCCAGGTTTTTGCACATTGACTTTGTCTTCTCGAGCTGCCCTTTGAAATGTTCTGTTTAGCTCTTTTATGTTCTCATTCCTTTCATTTGCTTTATCTTCCCTATGCTCAAGAGCATGTTTCAGAGTCTCTCTGATGTTTTCTTTCTTTCCTATCTTTTAAATGACCTTTTGCTTCCTTCCTGTATAATGTTCTTGATGTCATCCCACAACTCTTCTGGTCTTCGGTCATTTGTGTCTAATTCACCAAATCTGTTCTTGAGATGGTCTCTAAATTCAGGTGGAATATGTTCAAGGTCACATTTTGGCTCTCATGGACTTGCTTTAATGTTTATCAGCTTCAGCCTGAACTTGCATATGAGCAATTGATGATCTGGTCCACAGTCTGCCCTTGGTCTTGTTTTGGCTGGTGATACTGAGGGTGGTGATACTGAGCCTCTCCACCATCTCTTCCCATAGATGTAGTCTGTGTATTCCGTCTTGTGAGGCCCATGTGCATAGTCACACTTTTTTATGTTGTTTAAAAAAGGTGTTTGCAATTAATAAGTCATTGGTCTTACAAAATTCTATCTCCAGCATTGTTTATATCACCAAGGCAATATTTTCCAATAACTGATCTTTCATTTGTGTTTCCAACTTTTGCATTCCAATTGCTAGTCATAATCAATGCAGCTTGATTGCATGCTTGATCTGAAATTGACTGAAAAAGTTGTTAGAGTTCCTCAAGTTCATCATCACTGGCTTTAGTGGTGGGTGGGTAAATTTGAGTAATATTGGTAATAACTGATCTTCCTTTTTAGGCATATATCCTATCACAGCCAGCATTGTACTTCAAGATCTTGAAATATTCTTTTTGATGACTAATATGTCATTGCTCTTCAATTTGATGTCATTGGCATAGCATAGTAAACCATATGATTGATTCAAAATGACAAATACTTGTCTGTTTCAGCTCACTAATGCCTAGGATATGGATCATTAGGCATTCTATTTCATTTTTGACAACTTCCAATTTTCCAAGATTCATACTTTGTACATTCCATGTTCCACTTATTAATGGATGTTCACAGCTGTTTCTTCACATTTTGAATTGGGCCTCATCAGTAAAATGTCCCAAATGCATTACTCCATTCATGCCATTATAATCAGCTATACTTTGAGGAGTCAACTCTTTCCCAGTCATATTTTGTGTGCCTTCCAACTTGAGGAGCTCAGTTTCCAGCACGATCTCAGACAATGTTCCATTGCTATTCAGGTTTTCCATGGCTAACCATTCAGAAGTGGTTTGCCTCTCATTCTTCCTAGTCTGTTTTAGTCTGAAAGCTCTGCTGAAACTTGCCCATCATGGGTGACCGTGATGGTATTTAAAAAACTGGTGATACAGCTTCTAGCATCACAGCAACATGCAAGCCACCACAGGTAAGTGCTGGGTGTTTATTATAGGTGTAGAAAAAACAATTATTATAATCCTGTTTGTTATATTCAGGTAACCTTTCTTTTTCTTTAACTTCTTCCTGAAGTAAAGACTTTATGATTTCTGAATTCTCTCTTTTCATGAGGGCTGAAACTTACCTGAGGAATGGGAAGCTTGAGAGAACCTACCCAGTCCACAGCCTTCATGAAATTGCTTCTTCATCTTTGAAATGGGCTAATTTCTGCCTCCTCCTCAAAAGAGAACTTGGTAGACATGGTGGGCTCTAAGCAAAATTAGCTCAATCCCACTATGTGGGTGAAAAGGCAATGTTGGGCCCTGTTAAGGAACCAGCCCACAGGGAAGCTAAAGTCATTAAAAAAACAAACAAACAGAAAACCAGAATTCAGAAATGTACTTTGGTGAGTAGTGACTGGGGTCTGTCTGGAGCAAAGAGTGAAAAAAAAGCTTAGCTACATGGAAACAAAGGATTCTGGGAGCCTCAGCTTCTATGACCAGAAGAACTAGATGATGCCGGCTACCACTACCAACTGCTCTGAAAGGGAGTACATGAGAAGGTCCTGGATAGAGCTGGAGAAAATGTGGAACAAAACTCAAAACCATAAAAAAAAAAAAAAAAAAAAGCTTACTGGTCAGATAAAGACTGGTGAGACCCCAGAGACTATTGTCTCTTTGTCACCCTTCACGCCTGGAACTGAACTCAATTTTCAACACTAGGCAAGTACTCATTTCTTACAATAATCAACTATTTGAGATAAAAAAGGCAGTATTTGTCTAAGGACAAACTTTAGATGGTAGGAAGGGTTAGGAAAGGAGGAATGGAAACATAGTGAGGAAATGGGATGACGGATGCTACATTGTAGGGACGGTAATCAATGAGATGAAATGAAACATGCATGAATTGTTGAATGGAAAATTAATTTGCTCTGTAAACCTTTACCCAATTCACAATAAAAATAAAATTGTACTACAAAATACACACACACACACACACACACACACACACGAGAGGAGGGGGCTTTTCAAAGTTTATGGAAAATGAAATTAAGATATAGGATTTTTCCACAAACCTTTTGAAGGCTCCCCATGTGTGTGTGTGTATTTTGTAGTACAATTTTATTTTTATTGTGAATTGGGTAAAGGTTTACAGAGCAAATTAATGTATGAAGTGTATGAAGATGGCTGTATGAAGATGGCTGTAAATTAGTATATGAACTATATGAAGATGGCTGGAAAGAAGAATAAAACCAACAATTTGGGTCCCCAAGGCCCTTTTCTGATGGGCTGGCCCCCTTGGATGAGTCATTTGCACAATCCCTGGCTGGCTGCTCTGCTGGAGGCTGAGTTGGCCTGAAGCTACCTAGAACCTAAGGTAAACCAAATTCTCAGAAACACCCCCTCTCCTTTGGGGGAGGAAGTTTAAATTATCAGGTCAATTAGGAAAGATACAACCAAAAAAATCCCAATTTCATTCACACTTCAAGGAGGTGTTTTCTGGCTGGGCGCCACTTTTATTATTTTTGGCCCAGGCGGCTGGAAGACCCACAGACCCAGGGAAGGTACAATGTGATCTTTCATTCTCATTTCAGGGATCAAAGCGAGTGAGTTTGGTGTAAATGCAGATAACAGTTCAGACCTTCTATGAAAGGAATCAGCAGACCAGGACAGAAAGGGAGCTGCTGTGTTCCCTGTGTTTGCTTTGAGAACAATCATTTTCCAGTGTATTCTGCTGCCCCTGGCTCCAATGACTTCTGGCCTACATCCAGGTCATCCAGGGCAGTGGGTCCCAGTCACCTTTCCCTTGGTAAAGAAAGGGCTGGCACTCCCACCTCTTGTCCAGGCACCGTGTAGACACAAGATCCTCTACTTACTTTTACCAAATCTCTGGGTGCTGACTGGACACGCTGCTACTGGGTGGCAGGCCAGGCTGGGCATGGCGCTGAGGGGAGACCTTGGCAGCCTGCTCTAATTGTCTTTACTGGGTCCAACCTTACCAGGTCTAGTCCAGTACCAACCCACCCATGCACGAGGAGAAACCCAACCACCCCATCCACAGGTTTCTGGCCTCCAGCCCTTAGCCATGATGTGGAGATAGGCAGAATCAGCTCCTAATACCTAGGTCTGGTATGAAGACTCACTAGGTTTCCAGCGGTGGCTACTGGGGTGGTGAGACACTTCGCTGGCATGCCATACATGCTACGCTAACGAAGCCAGCATGCCCAGCAGGTCCCAAACCCTGTAGACCCTCTACTCCCAAATCCTCCCTGACGGCTTCAGCTCCCCTATGCTTGGCCTAGCATTCTTCCTAACTCTCAGTCGTCCCCGTTCAATGCCTCAAATTGAGGCATCGCAGGCTGAGGCAGCAACCTTCATCAACAGGGAGCGGGTGGTCGCCGAGGTGGAACACTGCTCCTCCTGCTCTCTCATAATTCTGCAGCCGCTCACCACTGGGCTCAGGGCCAGAAACGGGGAGGAGTCGGAGGGGTGTGCTAACCCCGCCCCTCCGCGCCTGCGCACGCAGCCCTCTGTGACCCGTCCAGGCATGCTATCCCATCACACCCCGCGCCGTGTGGCCGTGCTGGCTAGGTTGAAGAGCGCCTGCGTGGCCGTGGTCCCACTGCGCACGGCTCACAAGCGGCGGGAGAAGCGCGTGCGCGTGTGGCCGGCTGGGAGGCCGGCGTAGGGCGTGTCGGAACGTAGGGACGGGCGCGCGCACGCAGGGGGCGCGGCTGCATGGCGTTTTCTGGACCCAGGCAGCGAGTTCCCTAGCGCTAGTGTTGCGGGCTGCAGCCGGAGGGTCAGTGGGGCCACGGGAGTTCTGCGGTCGGCGGGGAAAAAAAGTCCTTTCTCTTCGCCGTGCTTCCCTGTCCTCACAGTTTGGGGGGCGGTCCCCGGCCCGGCCGGCTAGGTAGCCTTAGTCCTGGAGGGCACCTGGAGGCATATTCGGCCGTTCCTCCAGACCTCACAGCGGCCCATCTTCTTCACTTCCTAGGTGGCGCGGGGACTCGTCCTCTGAGGGAGGTCCATCCTCACGGTCGCAGGCCGCAGCTCCGTGTAGCCTTTTCGCGGAGCCTCGGGTGGCTGCAGGTAGGTGGGCTTCTTAGTGCGGGTGTTGGGGGGAGCGCTTGTGAGCTCGTATCTCTTTCCTGCATGGCGATTGCCGGGGGATGCAGCATTCTGCCCTTACCTTGCTGTGAGGCTTTTGGGTAGTCCTTTTACTTCCGGGGCCCCTGGATCTCCCGCGCGTGGAGACCGTTCCGGACTCTGTGTTTGGCTCTACAGAGACAAACATGCCCTTTCCGCGGTACCTGCTGCTTTAGCAGAGCGCTACCTAGTCCAGAAGGACCGAAGTTCCAACATACCAGGCAGGATGGGGAGAGAAGTGGGAGAGACCAGCAGACTGATCTGGAATGGAAGGGAGCTTGGGAGGGTGAGAAGCGGGCTCAGGGGGAATCCTTCCTGAGGCTTCAGGGAGCCCTCTGGCGCTATAGGATCAGCACTGGATTTCGAACCACAAGGTCGGTAGTTCAAACCACGAGCTGCTGCTCAGAAATCATGTACAGAGTCGATGCCAATTCAATGGCATGTAACAATAACAAAGCCTGAATGGGGTGGTAGATCTGGCCCTGGGTAGACCACTTCACTGCCAAATGAGGCTTCTATTTGTGGTCACTGGTTTTTTAGAGCTCAACAAGGATTGGAGTGGAGTGGATCTACTTTCATGCTACCCATTGGGCATTGCTCCCAGCAGATCCTAGTGTCATCCTTTGGAATGGTGTTGAGTGTTGAATTGATTGCCATTTGAAAGGTCAGTGGTTTAAACGAATCCACCAGCTGCTCCAAGGGAAAAAGAGGAGGCTATCTGCTCCTATAAAAATTTACAGTCTTGGAAATCTTAGGGAGAATTCTGTTTTACTCTGCCTTTGTTAAATGCTTTTGATTCGGTTCTGACTCCCAGTGAACCTGTTTTGGGGTTCTGAGGAGCTCCTGGTGGGTTTGAACCACCAACCTTTTGGGTAGCAACTACTCCACTGCTTCTCCAACAGCGCCACACCAGGTCATAAAAAAACCAGAATCAACTGAATGGGAGTGGGTTTGGTTTGGTATTAGAGTGGGAAGCAAGGGTCAAGGGCTTGACTTTTTTGTGGAAGATACACCCCCAGAGTGGGGGATGTACCTGAGAGAGTCCAGAAAGATTGAATGACAGAGGTGCTGGTGGCCTTGGCAGCTTCTCGTTCTATAGCTGCCCTATGGAAAGACCCACATGTGTTGAGCCTTGTGCATGCAAACACGCGTTTGGGAAAGTCCCACGTGGAGGGGTGAAGAAGCAGGGTGTTCTGTGGAAGCTGGGGAAGGTGACCATAGCTAGGCTGGGCAGTGAGGGCACAGGAGCAAGCTGGAGGAGGGCTGGTTGACTGCGATAGAGTCTCTTCCCAGTGGTGGTGTTTCAGGACTGCTTAGGGTTGGTGACTAGCACAAGGAGCAGGCTGGGCAGCTCTGGTGCCTGGAGGAGGGCTCTCCAGACCCTTTGGTGAGTGACTTTGGAGTGGTGAGAGATGAAACAAGTGAGATCACTGGGGTGTGGGCATGGGTGGGGGAGGAGCAGGATGCTAGTGCTGCCTGTGGGCTGGTGAGTGCAGGGAGGTGATGCTGGAGCCCTAGTGGCATTGCCTGCAGGTGGTCTGCAGTGGGGAAAAGGGTAGTCTGGAAAGCACTAGAGGAGGGTTTATGGGAGGGAGGAGAGACCTGGCAGGACAGGGATGCAGTTGGCACCTGCCTTGTACCTGGTGCTGTGCAGCGGGCTTGGAAAGTAGGGCTGGGTTGTAAAAGAAGCTTCTGGCATTGTTTATGTCCTTAATGAGTTAGCAGTGTTTTGGGGAGCCTAGCAGTCTACTTCTCAGTGACTGTAAAGTGTAGTTTATGACGTGCAGGATGTGTCTTGAAGCATTTGGTTTCTGGCTCCAGGACTTCCCAACTGTGTGGTCACAGATGAATTACGTCACCATTCTGTGCCACTGTGTCTAAATGTGAAGAGTGGTGCCAGCTGCCCCAGTTGCATCAGGGGGTCAGGGATAGTGGGCACTGCTTTTACCATTCTCCGTAAGGTGTCCTGGTGGTACAATGAGTAAACATGCCATTGCTCACCCAAAGGTTAGCAGTTCAAATCCCCCAGCCATTCCCTGAGAGAAATAGTTTGCTCCCATAAAGATTGACAGCCTTGGAAGCCCTAGGGGGCAGTTTTACTCTGCCCTGCAGAACTGCTGTGACTTGGAACTAACTTGAGATTCCCTGACAGCCTGGCTGGGAGGTTTCAGGGAAACACGGGGGTGGTGTGTATGTCTGTGCCAATCAATCCTGCATTGGCAACATTTGCCATACCCTTAGGAGCCCTCGTAGTGCTCTGGTTAAGTGTCGGTCTGTAATTCTAACCCACTAGCCGCTCTGCAGGAAAAAGATGAGGCTCTTTGCTTCTGTAACGAGTACAGTGTCAGAAACCTCTGGAATAGTTTTTATCTTTCCCATAGGACCCTGAGTCAGTATTGACTCAACGGCAATGGGTTTGGGTCAGATATGGGGGTGGGGCTCTGGTGGCACAGTGGGTTAAGTGCTGAGTTGCTCAATACCAGCAGTTCAAACCCATCAGGTACTCTGGAGAAAAAAGATAAGGCTGTTTGCATCTGTAAGGATGACAGCATAGGAAATCTATGGGGCAGTTCTACTCTGTCCAGTAGAGTCTATATATGAATCGACTTGACGGCCTGAATCGGGTTTGGCTTGGACCATACTCTTACAACATCACAGACAGCATTTGCCTGCCCTCCTTACCCTACCCTGACTGGGTAGGCCCACTCAGCTCTTGGTACTAGTGACTTGCTTGCTTGCTGCCTCTTCCCACCATCCCTTTGGGGATAGCTGGACCTTCTTCCCCACTTTGTTTTTGGACAGATTGCCTTGGATGATAGCCTGCATCTGACAGTTCCATCACCTCTTCTCAGTTCTCCTGTGGCCGCAGCTGTCAGCACCCTAATCCTCATAGCTTGCCTGGAGCAGCCTGGGTCTGCCACGCCCCCGTTCAGCAAACCTCTATCTTGCCCCATCCTTTGTTGCTGCTTCTGTCCATGCCTTGCCCTCTTGTGCCATCATCTCTTCCTTCTTTCTTCTCATGGTTGGTGTGGCCACTCCACCAGCTCCCAGCATACTTTGTCAGCAGGAACCTCATCATCCTATTTGGGAAGCAGCTCATTAACGCCAGTGTACACCCTTGGCAGCTGTGGACTGGACCTCTTTGGGGTCATGTGTGCTCTGTCCATGGATTCCTGCACTGAGCAGCCCTGCTACAGGGACCCTGTGTACAAGTGCACTACCATGGGGCAGAAGGGCGTGAGTGATGCCCCTGGTGGTGAACCTGCAGAGAGGGGCCTTCCAATTGCACACAGTTCCATTCTGCTGCCCAGCATCCTGGACTTTTACTGGCTGCTGGGCTCTGACCTGGGGACCTTTAACGGCTTCTCATGGCTGCTATGTTGCTTTCTTGGCAATTACATGCCTCTCCATTTCAAGCATTGCTAAGGTAACCTCAACCATACCCTTAAGATCCTGGGCGCCTTACAACCCGTTACTTCAACAGAGACCTGCCCCTGCCTGACAGTGACGAGCTCTTCAGGACCTCAAGGACATGTTTCAAGACTCAGGATTTTGCTGAGCACCACTCTGCAGTGCCCTGCCCCATCCCAACCCAGCTGCCAGTGGCCCTGTGGCTACCTGTGCTAAGGCAGTCCTTAGCTTGGTTCTTGAAAGCCCTGATTCGCAACATGTGTGCCCCTTCTGGGCTGGTAGTAGCTGCTCTGGTCACCCCCGCTATTGCTAGTGCCAACTCCGCATTCAGATATGCTGTGACTTACCTGAGTAGCCAGTGGCCAAGGAAAGCAGCCCTGGGCCCAAGGAGCACCCTGCTATGTTCAACTTTGCAGATTGCACCGTTGCTGTTCCTATAGGGCCCACCTCCCAGCTAGAAAAGTAGCTCCCCAGGCCTGCCCTTACACTTACAGAATCTGCTCAGCTCCCTGCCCAGACCAGATCCAGCTTGTCCAGGGGGTCTAGCACCCCAGAAGGCAAGAGGTCGAGAGTGAGGGAAACCAGCTGGCCACTTACGTACCCTCCAGGAGGTAGTCGGTATTCTGGAGTCTCCCAGAGAGCTGCCAATATCTACTGCTCCCAAACCAGCAGCTCTGAACTTGACACATGAGCCCAGTGGGGGCAGGATGAAGTGATTGGCTTAGCAAAGGAGCCCCCGAATCAGGACTGTGGCATTGCCACATTTAAAGGAGCCTTCTTGTTGCTGGGGCATTGTCTTATCTGCTGGCTTCACGAGTGGGGGTGGGGTGGGAATTGTACTTGTTTGGGCCCTGTCCTGTCTGAGCACACATAGCCCTGATCCCTCTGACAGCAGAAAGTTGGCCTGTGCCCTCTCCTCTATTTCCTCAATGGCCCAGGGGGCCTCCTGCTAGGATCGTAGTTGTATTTCACTTGGAGGTACCATCTCACCCAGTCTGTTCTTCAGCTTAGTCCCCATCAGATTTTGCATCATCCTGCGTCTCCTGCAAATTTGAGCTCCTGTTGGGGTTTTTCAGATGCCCTGGTGGTGCCATGAGTTAAGCATTGGGCTGCTAATTGCAAGGTTGACAGTTTGAGTTCACAGGAGAAAGATGAGGCAGTCTGTTCCCATAAAGATGCATGGCCCCGAAAACCCTAGGAAACAGTTCTCTGTCCTATAAAGGTCCCGGTGAATTGGAATCGACTTGATGGTTGTGGGTTTTCTGTTTTTCCACATTGGTAGGCACCAGCTTGAGGCTGCCATGCCTGCCCTTTGGATCTTACCCCTTGTCCTTGTTCCCTGTGTGATCTTCATCATCTTGGTTGGAATTTGAGGAAGGTTTCAAGGAGGAAATGGCCATTTGGATCCTTTAATACAGGTGGGATGGTTCCTTGCAGAGAAAGATGTCCCTGGGGTTTACCAGCCGTACAAAGCAGTTGGGAAGATGGTGAAGCAAGGTGGGATGCCAACTCTTTGCCAAGTTCACTCCAGGCAGTTTTCTGTAGTTTAACATTCTAGTCACAGCTGGCTGTCCTCCGAAGTTGGTGTGGTTTTTACATCTCAGCACCTTTGCATGCATGTTGTGCTGCTTTGTCACTTTCTGCTGTTCAGCAATCCCTGCCCTCCTCACCTGTGTACTCTTGTACCTTGCCAGTTCAGCACTTCAGCTCTAACAATATGAATACCTGTGTCTCTGCTAGACTGTGAGCCTATAGGGCAGGGTTCTGTCTTAGGTTCGTGCCATTGGTACACAGTTGGTGCTCATTAAATGTGTGCGTTGGATCAACAGCTGAGTGTGGTGTGGTTTCATTAGTGGGAGTATTGTGTCCATCTGTCAGGAGCCAAGGTTTCTGGTGGGGACTGTGAGGACCGAAAGGTCTGGGTGAGGAGTTGAACCAAATTGCGGGGGGGTGGGGTTGTGTGCAAGGGAAGCTAATAGGTAAAAGGGCATTCAGAGCTAACTTCTGAGAGTTGGAAGTGAGGTGAAGGGTAGGCAGCAGACCATGTTGGTGAGGATTGGAATGAAGAAAGACCTGTTTCATACATGATGGTTTTTCTAATCATGAGAGCTGAGTATGGAGGCTCCATCAAGCCAGATTAACACAGGATGGGGGTGTATCCGGCCCATTGTGAAGGGTGCCGGATACAGAGGCAACTGGGCAAGAAGTTCCAAACTTCTAGTTGTATAATTATAAAAACAAATCAACAAGCAAAAACTTTTTTGGATAGTAGGAAGAAAAACTTAAGAAAAATTAACTGTCAGTAAAACTAGTTATTTTGGGAAAAACAATACTAAGCAAACATCTGTTACACATTTCTTAAGAAAATTTGTTGGACATATTTGATAATTGAAAAAAGCTCTGGGGTCAGATGGTTTTATGTGTCAAATCACAGATGCTCCCCTGCAAGTAAGATTGTTGCAGATCTCAGAAACAGGTGGGACGCTGCTATTAGAAAGCTAAATAATTGATGGTAAAACAACCAAGCTGAAGAAGAAAACACATTGTGTTGGTTTTGGTCAGATGACCTTCTGGCCCAGCACCAGTACTACTGGGCTAGGCTGCTCTGATGCGCCTCCAGAGCAGGGTGCAGCCCCCTTCATCACTCACTTCTGGGCCCTATTTTAAAGGAGCTTTGTAACATTTTTATTGTGAATTGGTTGAAGGTTTACTGAACAGATACGTTTCCCATTGAATAGTTCCCATACATTATGTTTTATGTCATTGATTATAGCACCCACAATGTAACATCCCTTATCTTACTTCCTCCCTGTGTCCTATGTTTCTGGGTTCCATTTCTCCACCTTTCCTAACCCTTCTGTTGGACCCTCCTTTTACAGGCCTAGGACAGACTGGTTCCCCCCTGCCTTGTATGTGAGTTTTGTATCAGTGACTGAGGCCTTGGGTTTGTGCTGTCACCACAACTCTGTCAGTAGAGCTTGGGGTGATCTCTGGGGTAGGTGGCTCTCTGTCCCCCAGTTGGCCTGCCCCATCTTGCTGGCCTCTGCTGCCTCGCGCCGTCTCAATATAGTAGATCTCAAGTGAATACTTGATCATAGATGGGAGTGCCTACAGTGGTTCATCCCTAGCCTGCAGTGGTGCCATGCTTCTGGCTGGTGTTACTCAGCTGTTTTCCCATTCCTCAGGAGAGGCAGCACAGAGGGCAGAAGACGCTATGCTGCTTTCGAGAGAAAGGAGGGTCCCTTGAACAATTTTTCACTTCCAGGTCATGAGTGAACAAGGAGCTAGCATGGCCGTAGGCAGAGCACCCAGAAGATGGGCACTTAATGTTCCAAGGGAGCAACAGAATCTGGTAGGGCCTGCACGTGTGTTCAGGAGCAAGCAGGGGATAGGAGGGGTACAGTGTCTGCCACCTGGTAGCTCATCCCGTCTGCTCCTCCCTCAGGAATTACCCAGAGGTTTTCTTTTTCTGAAGGTAGGACATGGCATGCACTATGGGATTTTTTTTTTTTTTTTTTGTATTGTGAATTGGGTGGAGGTTTACAGAGCAAATCCGATTTCCATTGAACAGTTCAGACACCTTTTGTTTCAAGTCATAGATTGTAGTTCTTTCAGTGTAACATCCCTTATCACGCTTCCTCCCTAAGTTTCCTGTTTCTATTCCTCCTCCTTTTCTGTACCTTCCTGGGAATGTTTTTAAAGCACCTGTGTTCAAGGAAAATCATATAAAAGGAAACACTGAGCACAAGGGCCTGTAAAATACTGGAACACTGTAAAGCTGCAGTAATTAAGGTAATTGGACATTGGTGTGACAGAACAGGGATGGATAGAGAACTTTTAAATGGAGCTAAATAAAGCTGGAAAGTGAGTGTAGACTGCAGGCTAAAGATGTTGTTTTGCATTTAAAAAACCCAAACCCAAAGCTGCCTGCCATTGAGTTGGTTCTGTCTCATGGCAACCTTGTAGGATACAGTAGAACGCTCTAGAGTTTCTGAGCCTTGTTAGTCTTTACAGAAATGGACTTATTCATCTTACTCCCATGGAGAGGCTGGTGGATTCAAACTGCTGACCTTTTCGTTAGCCCAGTGCTTAATGCACTGCTGCCAGGACTCCTTGTTTCAAATTTGCTGTTGTTAAGTGTCGTTGAGTCAGAGCGACTTTTTTTTAAAAATGATTTATTGTGAATTATGTGATAGTTTACATGGGAGAATATTACTTTTACATTCATTCCATCGTATATCCTCTCATTGCCATGGTTACAATCACCTCCATGCAAATATTTCCCCCGTGCCCCTCAGGTCTTCAGCACTCCCTCTCTGGATCTAAAGTCTCCAGCTGCCATTGCTCCACATGCAACTCTTTATAGGGTTTCCAAGTTTTAAAATAATCTTTGCAGGAATAGAAAGCCTCATTTCTCTCCCATGCAATGACTGATGGGCTCCAACTATGGACTTTGTGGTTTGCAGCCCAGTCTCTGGGAGCGTAGTGGTTACCAGTCGGGCTGCGAACCTTAAGGTCAACAGTTCGAAACTATCAGCTGTTCCGCGCGAGAAAGGTGAGGCTTTCTGCTCCCGTAAAGATTTACAGCCTCGGAAACCCTGTACAGGGTCACCATGAGTTGTAACCGACCCCATGGCACATAACAATAATAACAACAACCGCATTCCTGGTTTCAAATTGTTGTTGTTAAGGGTCATAGAGTCAATTCAGACTCATAGCAACCCTGTGTAGGGTTTCTGAGGAACAGCTGGTGAGTTTGAACTGTAAACTGTGCAATTCAAACTGACCTTGTAGTCCAGCGCATTAACTCACAAAGTCACACTGGGACTACATGGTTTCAAATTAATGGGGATAAAATTTGATCAAAGGAGTTAGGACAACTGGTCAGACATCTGGAAAATAGTAAAACTGGATGCCTCCCTCCCTCTTTATACCAGCACATATGCAGATGGATTAAAGATTTTAGCTTTAAAACGCTCTTGAAAGTACAACAGGGAAATAGCGTGATTTTTCTGTTGTTGCCAGTGATTATTGTTCTTTCATCTGGTCGTTTCCCACTCATGGTGACTCTGTGTGTTAATCAATAGAACCATTTCATAGGGTACTCTTGGCTGCAATCTTTATGGAAGCTGACTGCCAGGCCTTCTGTGGTTCTGCTAAGTGGGTTTGAACCGCCAACCTTTTGGTTACCAACTGAGCACGAGCCATTTGTGCCACCCATCAGGACTTTAAAAGTTTTGTTGTTGTTATTGTTAGGTTCTATCAAGTCAGTGCTAACTCATAGCGACCCCATGTCTAACAGAACAAAACCCTGCCCTGTCCTGTGCCATCCTCACAGTCTTTCCTGCTTGAGCCCATGGTCGCAGTCATTGTGTCACTCTGTCTCATGGAGGGTCTTCACTGACCCTCTGCTTTACCAAACATGAGATCCTTCTCCAGGATTCCTCCTGATAGCATGTCCAAAGTACATCTTCCTAGCATTCTAGCTGTACTGCTTCCAACACAGATTTGTTTGTTCTTCTGAAAGCCCATGCTAATTTCAAATATTCTTTACCACACCATAATTCAGAGACATCAATTCTTCTCTGGTCTTTTACATGCATATGAGTTTTTAAACATTTTCTATCCCCAGAATTATTGAAAGCATGGAGAATGAGCTTCCTCCTCCTATTGCTGTATGTATACAATACTATACTTTGTATCATGAAAGTTGGAGGAGTAGATGCTCTGGCCAGGGTAGATTGCTTCAGAGTGTCCACAGTGTTGGGGTTAAGAACCTGAATTAAGCTCAGTCCCATCTCATCTCGCCTCCTGTACTGATCACCTCAGGGTTCTTGGCGTCACCCAGCCCCTCTAAGCTGTTCAAATAGTTTCCACCTCACAGAGTGGTTGGAAGTGTTGACTGACATAATGCCTGTGCAGTGCTTGGCCCAGGCTGGACTCCGGTAATCACTCAGTGGGCATTCCTGCCTCAGTAACAGCAAAGCTTTGGAAACAGACCAAAGCTCATTGGCAGGAGCCAGACACTAGAGATGCTGGCCCCTTGTACCAGTCAGGATGAGCCTGGTTGTGCTGGAGTATCAAAGCCCCAGCATCTCAACTACTCAGTCCCTCAGGGATCTAAGTGGATAGAGTGCAGAGTCATGAAAAGAACCCACTGAGCTGTGAGTGATTTGTGTCACCTATGTGGCCACGGGAGTCCTGGTGTGGCACTGTAGGATGAAGCACTGGACCACAAGGTCAGTTTGAACTGAAAGGTTGGCAGTTCAGACTCACCAGCCGCTCCTCGGAAACCCTGTACCAGGTTGCTATGAGTTGGAACTGACTTAATGACACTCAACAACAACAACAACATGCAGCCTTGGCCAAAGGAAGCCACTGCACCACACTTTGTCTTGCAGGACAAGAATGGTGGCCCTCCCTGGACATCGGGCTGTCCCTTTCTGAGAAGGGGGGGTACCCCTTACATGCCGAGTGGAGAGGTACCACACCAAGGGGGCAGAGTGGGTGCCGGTGGGAGCATGCCCCAGGTAGAGGCGCTGGCTTTCTCTTTCTGCACCTTTAAGTAGTGCTATTAGGAGCATGTACACTGGCAGAGGCCCTCCAGGTCCCAGGAGTCAGGGTATGTCTGGGGGTAAGCTGCTGAGTCAGGACAGTAGAACCTGGGTGCTGGGTGAGGGGGTGCCGCCTATCACAGGACGCTTCTTATTTCTGATATAAGGAAGTGTTCCTTCCCTATATTCACGAAATTTTATCCATTATTATCTTGAATCCACTGGTGATTGGGCTTCTAGAATGAACAGACCTGTCTTGAAGGAAGTCTAGTCAGAGTGCTCGTTAGAAGTGAGGTGGCGATCATCAGGAGGGACCAGTCCCTGGAGAAGGACATTATGCTCGGTAAAATTGAGGATCAGTAAAAAAGCAGAGGACCCTCCATGGGGTGGATAACAGTTGTGAGGACCGGGCAGTGTTTTGTTGTTGTACATATGGTGGCGATGAGTTGAAACCTACTAGATGGCACCTAGCAATAACAATTTGTAATTGCACTTGAATGACAGAGGGGTCTGTTGTCCTCAGAGAGTAGAGCCCCCTCCTCATCTCACCCCATCGCACCCATCTGTTTTGGATGTTTAACATGAGTGAGAAATTCTTGATGTGTTTTGGGGGTTTGTGTTTTCCACAGCATAAACAGTTGAGTCCTCAATGTTCAGAGAATCTGATTTCACCTTTTCCATAGGACACCCAATAGTACCAGCCAGTATCCTCTACTGAATGCCATCCTCGGTGTACCAGTCTTAAGTGCTGTCCCTGCCACATATTCCAGTGCTATTTCCTGCTCCCTGGTCTGGTCTAGAACCCAGTACCATTGAGTTGATTCTGACTCATTGTGGCTTACAGCATAGAGTAGAACTGCTCCCCAGGGTTTCCAAAGCTGTCAGTCTTACAGGAGCAGACTGCCTCATCTTTCTCCGTAGGAGCGGCTGGTGGGTTCAAACTGCTGACCTTTCAGTTAGCAGCCCAATGCTTATTCTGCCACCAGGGCTCCATTGATCTGGTTTGTCTCCAGTCAGTTCTCTAGCTTTATAAGTTCTGGTTATCTGGTAGGGAAAGGGTCCCTTTCACTCCCACTCATCTTCCAATTGTATAGTGTCAGGAACATTTTGCTGCTTGTGAGTAAGGGATAATGCACTGGGGCCCAGCATTCCTGTTACCCAATTCCTGCAGTGGTCACTTCTATCTCCTGGGGCCTGGCAGAGCATGTTCTCCAGAACAGCTGGGACCATATTTGTAAACTGGAGACATACTCTCTTCCTACAAGGGGTTGGGTTGGGTTAAGAGTGTGGGAAGAGCCCTAGCCTGCAGTGTGCCCCCAGGGCCAGAGCCTGGGAGTAGTGGGTGCTCATCCTTAGGCCAGATTCTTCTGGGGGCCCTGTTGAGTCAATCAAGAGGGCCTCTGGACTTCTGTCTCAGCAGTGTGGTACCTGAGCGTCTGATACAGCCAACACTGAGTACATAACTAGGGTGCCTGGAGCCCAGGGCATTGGGGTGACTCACCAAGGTAGTGTACAAGTGTGCATGGAGATGGAGCTGTTTATCCTGGGCTGTGAGGATGTCAGTCTCTCAGTGAGAGAAGTGCCTTGCAGTACCACAATACCTTGCAACAACGACAAGGAGCAAGCGGGTCTCCACGGACTCAGCTGCTGGCCGCTGAGTGGCCATGACATCTGGCTGAAGAAGGTGTGTTCAGCCGCAGTGCTGCTGGCCACCAGGATCAGGGTGTGTCTGCAGTGCTTTCTGAGCCCCCAGGTGTCTCGTGCCAGTCTCTACGATGCTTTCCTGCTGTAGGTGTAATTCAGGTGCCCTAAGGTGCAGGTGCAGCCAGCAGAGGATGTGGGCCACTATGCAGTGGGGTTCAAGGTCCAGTGATTAACAGTGCTGGCTGGCCTGAAAGCCTCACTGCATACTCAGACACGTGTATACAGACCCTGCAGTATGCGTGTGTGCTCCCTCAAGGCCCTACCTGCCTGCCTCTTGTGCACCTCTACGTGTTAACTGCACACCTGTGTGAATAACACACAGTGCATAGAGTCAGCTTGCATGTAAACCTGAACACACCTGCTCCAAGTGGGAAGAAGCTCTGGTGGCTCAGTGGGTTAAGCATTGGGCCACTAACCACAAGGTCAGCAGTTCAAGCCCACCAACTTTGTAAGAGAACAATGAGGCTGTCTGCTCCTATGAAAATTTGCAGTCTTAGAATCCCTAAGGAGCAGTTCTGCTGTGTCATATAGGGTTGCTATGAGTTGGGATGGACTTGATGACAATGAGTTTGGGTTTTTTCTCAAGTGGGACCTGGTTCCCAAGAATGCTTGAGCATTTGCTGCTCAGGGGATGTGGGCACATCCTTATTCCCAAGTGTCCACTCTCATGGGTTGGCCTCCATCCTGTACCCTCTGTGGGCATAGTCTGAGCCCATTGTCAGTGCCTGGCATAAGCTCTCCTGATGGGGGACTGGGCAGCTAGTCCCCCAGGATCAGGCCTTTTGGCAGAAGTGGGCCTCAGGTACTGGCACCCAAGGATGACCACAGTTTCTTTAGAGTGAGCAACAAGCTTTTCCATGAGTCCTCACTGGTCAGATTCCTACTTTTGCCTGGAAGTACCTTGGGCAGATTGGCTAAAAATGCCCTAGTTGGGCTTCCTTTTGGCTCCTTCCTGCTTCCTTGCCAGGCATCTTGGGCTTGCCCTGCTACTCCCCTTACCCCCACCCAGACTCCTGAGGCGACAGACGGCCCCAGCTGGAGCGTGAGATGCCTGTTTATTGAGAGCCTCTGCCGCCCATCCTGCTGCCCAGCCGCCCCTCTCTCTGGCATTTCCTCTAGCCCCCTTGAGGGCAGCCTGTGGCCTTTCTGCATCAACTTAGTGCCCACAGCTGCAGGAAGCCCTTCCAGCCGGGGGTTGGGGTGGGAAGTGGAGCGGGGAGGCAGATTGACAACTTATGTGTTTCATACCCCGGTCGGTAGCTTTTCCCGAAACCATTGAGGAAGGAAAAGATCCATGCTTTTGTCTTCTGGAAATGGACCCCATGACTCCACAGTCTGGTAGTAGCTGGTAGGAGGGGGTGCTGATAGGGGACTGCAGAATGCCGAGTAGGGACTCCGCTTGGGACCGGCACATGGGTCCCTGACCACTGCATTTTGGTGGGGCCTCCCAGATTTTGGTGGGCACTTGACTGGGTGCTGCTCAATTTACCACAGGCCAGCAGCCCCACTGGGATCCCTGGGCACTGTTACTCAGCCTTTGGGGATGCTTGGGACCCAGTAGGCTTGGGGAGAAGGGCCCACAGGGGCCCAGGATGCCAACCCTGGGAAGCCAGTCCTGAGCTCTCTCCTCACTTAGGACTGCTGATCTGTGGCAGGGGTAGCTGAGACTAGCCAGTAGTGTAGGTGCAGGGAATTTGATGTGTCCAAGTCCTCCAGGTTCAAGGGCCAGCTGACTGGTCTCCCTCAAGAAGAGTGAGGGGCTTAGGCCCAGGACAGGCTAGGGTTACCTTGCTTCTAAGGGCTTCAAGATGGCATTGCTCTTGTCTGTATCACAGAAACTGGAGTTCTGCTTTTCCTATCCCCGGCTAATGGAGGGTGCCGTGCCAGTGGGACTGGGTGTCTCTGTGGGGTGTGGAGCTCTGGGTAGGCTCCTGGCAGTCTGGAACACCATCCTTCACTCAGCTGGGTGTCTTCCCTGTCCACTCTCAAAGCAGAGCCAGGAGTCGCTTTGAGCCTTACTGCCAATTCTGACAACCAAGGTCACGGCCTGTCTGCTGGTCCCTCCAGATGATGGGTTGGAGACAGGCCCTTGCCCTGCCTCATTCTCCAAGGCCAAGGTCTGCTGAGTGCCTGAGTGGGTGCCTGAGTGGTGAGAATGCCATTGGATGTGTGCTCCCTGGAGGAGGCGGGCTCAGGAAGTACCTTCCTTCAGGCTCTTTGCAGCGCCTTCCCTCACTCCCTCCTAGGATGGCTGACCATGTCCGCAGCTGAATCCTGAGAATTCCTCTCTTGGGCCTGCATCTTTGAAGCCACTGCCTCGGTGCCCGCCTGGGCGCTTCCCAAGACCGATACTGACAGAGGATTCAATGAATCGAAGGTCGCCAGGCAGGGTGTTGACAGATGCAGGGCCCCGGTATTCTTTCTGATTTAATAACCTAATGGAGGCTGGTCCTTGGTAATAATGAGAGCTAATTACTGAGGAGGTGTTGACAGATGGACGGAGAGGAAACAAACTACCTTTATCCTACAGCTTAGAGTCAGATTACGGGGCCGGTGCTATCTGCCCCTCAGAAAGTTGAAGCTTCAATCACTCAGCGAGGCTTCAAAGGGGAAGGGCCTGACAATGCCCAGGACGGGGAAACCTATGAAGTGCGCCTTTGACTCTCAGTCTCCGACTGGAGTCCCGGCCAGAAACGGTTCCTTTGTGCAATTTGAATGACTGGACTGGCTGAGCTCAGGGTGGGGGTGGGTGCTGGCTGGGCTATGGCCCCATAACTATAGCTCCTTCCCTAGGCCATGCTGTGCCAACCCAGTTCTGTCCAGGTACTGCGAGTCCATGGGCTTGAGGGGGGGGCCGCGGGGACGTATGAATTTTTCTTGGCACCAGGGGCAATTTGTCCAGTTCTTTACAGCTTTGGGCTGCAGGTAATGGCATCAGAATCGAACATCTCAGCAGGCTGGCTCCATCCTCTTATTGTCATTTGGAACGTAGCTTTTCCGCAGCCATCAGCAGGCAGGTCTGGCCTTCTGAGCATGACTTGTGTCCTTGATGTTATTTATGGCAGGGCCATCCCTCCGAGTTTTGGCACCATTCATCAGCTGCTACCACCCCTCACCCCCCAGCCCTGCTCCTTGTCTTGCACTGAGAGTTAGCACTGTGGAAGTGGATACTATCCTACAGGGCCTTGGTGGGCAGGGCAGGCGGCCCAGTGATTGACATGGCGTGGTGGCCTGGTGAAGGTTGCTAGAAATGTTTCCTACTGAAGCACCATGCCAGGGCACCCGCTGCTGAACTGATGTAGCCTGGAGGGGCAGGGTGTGTGGGGTGGGCTGGCAGAGCACCCACCAACTGGGTCCACAATGCTGAGGGCCAGTGGCTGGTTCTGAATTTCTGGTCTGGATTGGACCTGTCTGCAGAGAGCATCTTCCAGCTCCAGGTAACTGCCTGGTAGTTGTGGAGTGAGCTGGTGGAGTTGCCGAGGCAGTAGCCCACGTGCATGTCTACCTTGGACTTGGGGGCACCTACTTGCTTCCTGCCAGCCAGGAGGACCAGCCCACTGCAGCACTGCTATGTCACTTCTAAGAGAGATGGAGTCGAGAGGAACACTGTGGCTTTTCTGAGTGCTGCTCTTCTCTGACAAAAGGGAAGTGACTGTAAGGATGGTGATGAGTCGTCTGCTAATATGGTTTAACTGAGGACCCAGAAAACCAAACCCACTGTTGTCAAGTAAATTCTGACTTATAGTGAAAGAAAGGCAGCTGCTCCTTGGCATTTCTGAGGCTGTCTGTCTTTATAGGAGCAGACAGGCTCATTTTTCTCCCAAGGATCAGCTGGTGGATTTGAATGGCCAACCTTGCAGTTAGCAGCCCAGTACTTAAGCCACTGTGTCACCAGGGGTTTTATTAACAGAGGACACTGTTGATGACTTTAGTTTATGAGGAGACTTCAAAAAAATTTGTGGAAAATAGAATAAAAAGATCATGAAATTTTTCTCCATGAACTTTTTGAAGCCCCCTCATAATAGGGCAAACAGTTATTTAAAATGGGAGAAAGCATTTAGAAATTGTTATAAAGTATCTTTAAAGTCACCTTGACAGAATTAGAAATTGACACTAATGCAGAACATCTAAGAACTGGTGGGGAAAGCCAGACTATCTAAAGAGGAAACTGGGTTTTCATAATCTGTTAGTCGTAAATTGAATACCATTAACTGTAGCACAAGAAAAACACAAAAATATTGTACAATATGGTTTACTTGAAAAACTACCTCCAGGGCAGGGCCTGGGGTGTTGACTTGGTCAGGAAAGCATGCCTGGGCCTCAGGTCTCCACTATGAACATAGTGCCAATAGTGATACATTCTTACTGACTAAGCTCCATCCTTTATTTTGATTTCCCCTGATGTCTTTTCTCTGCCTCCCAATCCCATTCAGGATTCATAGTACATTTAGTCCGCATGTTTCCTTAGCCTTCTCTGAGTCTGATACTTTCTTAGACTTTCCGTGTATTTTGATGAACCTAAGGAGCTCTGGTAGCGTAGTGGTTACGAATCGGGCTGCGAACCTTAAGGTCAGCGGTTCGAAACTACCAGCCACTCCACGGGAGAAAGATGAGGCTTTCTACTCCCGTAAAGATTTACACCCTCGGAAACCCTTACAGGGTCGCTATGGGGTCGCTATGGGTCGGAACCGACACGATGGCACTTAACAACAACAACAACATTGGTCTTGAAGGAGTACTGGTCAAGTATCAAGAAGCACTGCTGGTGCAGTGGTTAAGTGCTTGGATGCAACCCAAAAGATTGGTATTTCAAACCCATCAGCCACCCTGTGGGAGAAGGATGAAGTAGTCCGCTCCCATAAAGATTTACAGCCTCAGAAACATTATGGAGTAGTCTCAGTCTGTCCTGGAGAGCCCCTAGTTGGAATTGAGCTGGTGCGGTGGCTTGGATTTGATCAGATATCTTATAAACTGTTGCTCAGTTGGGATTTGTCAGATGTCTTTCTCATGATTAAACTG